ACTCAATTGATTGTACTCTCGGTGACATGAAGGTCAATCAAAGCCAAGTGATTAGGTAAACTTGCTCCAGCAAACATGTCTGCCACGTAGTTCCCATTTTGGAATTTAAAACAGCCAACACCGTACTGCGGTGACAAACAAAACTTTCAGATCTAAAAATGGTTGAAATGTCACACTATTTCTACTCTGTTTTTGTGTTCATTGATATTCCTATAGCAGAACTGCGGCCGAAAGGACATTAACATCAGCGGCCAAATAGTCTCCGCGTGGTTCCCTTTGCAGACCTGTCTGCTGAGCGTGGATCAATGTACAACATGTGGGAGGGGGGAAGAAATAGAAGTAAATTGAACCAGCTGGATTTTGAACATTTTGCTCACAGAGAGGTAATTTCCACCTCTTTATCACTGATGGATCTGCTTCCCCCCTCATGCGGGTTTAGAAATTGAATTGTTAAGATAGGGCTGCTGCTGGGTCTATGTGTGAGATAGACAGTTGATTCAAGGGGACATTTACAACCAAGAAAAAGTGTGCTCTTCGGTATCGCAGATTTGTACCTATTCTTTATCTCGTTCTCTGTCTGGAAAGATAGGAAATAATTCTGAATAAAAAAAATAAATTATGTCCCTTAGTAATTGCTGGAGTGGAGATTTTTAAATTGTAACAAATATTGTGACAAATATTTAAAGTGACAGTAAAATTATAAAAAACAATATATATAATTTTTGATGTGGAGAAAAAGGTGAAACACATATCTTTTGAAGGTAGGAATTCCCCCTCCATTGCTCTCAAAGTGGCCATGTCCTTTTTTTTTTTCCTTTTGATTTTTGTTTTCTTATGCCCTGTATCTTAAAGTTACACTGTAGTGTTAGGAATACAAAGCTAACATTATAGTGTCCCTTTGCTCCCCTCCTTGGTACCCCACCAACAGTTAAGGGGTTAAGAATCCTTTAACTACTTACCCGAGTCCCTCCGCACTGGCTTTGACTCTGCCTCCTCAAATGTCAGTGCCAAGGGTGAACCTAATGCGCGGTGAGTCCCACATGTGCATTAGGTCTTCCCCATAGGAAACCGTTGAATCAATGCTTTTCAAAAAGGGATTTTAAGATGCTGGACGAAGTTTCACAAGGATAAACTCCACTAGAGGCAATATTTTAGAATGCAGGGTTAAAGGGACAGAGATCATTTCAATAATATGACGTGGTTTGGGTGTCTTTAGTGTCCCTTTAATAATTACACTCCCTCTTTTGCAACTTTGCCTTTATTTATACGTAGTGTCTTTTCTTCCTTGTGCTGGATTTCAATACCTGGGTGCAGCCACTTTGTTTCTCTCAGCCCTCGATGTCTGCAGTTTGCTGTTCTGTAGGATTAGCTTCACAGAAGGATTGTGGGTAAATTTGATTGGCATCTGAAATAGAACCTTGCGTTAAACCCCTCGTATTGTCATGTTTTGTCAGCTTGGCTGCTATACATAATGAATTCAACTCTAAGTCCAAAACAGCCAAACTGAAAAAAATCTCTAAATCAGCTATATTTTCAGTCCGACTACTTTGGCCTTAAATTTAAAATTTAATAAATGAACTTTGAATTTACTCTGAATTCTTACATTATTACGTTCGTGAATAACCCTGTATGTTTCTTTAAGCAGAGTTTCTCCTATTAGTGTTTGTAATAGGAAGACAAAGGAATACAATTCCCCAGTTACATTGATTTTTGTAAGGGTTATTCACAAAAGTGTGAATTGTCAGGAATTCAGGGTGATTTTCAGATTGTAGGCCCAAATTAACTTTTCTGAAATCATAGCTGGCTTGAATATATTTCAAATTCAGCTATTGTGGCATTACATTTGAAAACCACTTCCATGAATAATCCTAATATATTTTGTGGTATAGTTTGTGGAATTCATTTGTTTTTCAAAGGTAGCTTTGGGATGGGGATTAAATAAAAAGAGGACCACCCCATTAATATATTTTTTATTTTTTGGGAGTTTTTTTAATTTCTTGCCTCGCCCTTTTCGCCAGTAGAAGGTATTTTAACCTTAAAAACGTAGTCTTTATTCTGAATCTGAAGAGAAGATTACAGACGAGTTAGACATAAGCACACAGCGGATCCTGAAGAGGCGTTTTCATTCTGAGAGTTTAATGAAGGGATCAGGAAAATGAACAGGCTTTGCGGGGTGACACATGGATCAGAGTGTATTTGTGTATTTGCCGTACAAATTCATCCCCATACAAACTAAGAAGTGACTCATGACAAGCGTTCCTTCCTGTCACAGACTGTCGTGTCCTATAAATGTCACACTCTCCCTAACGTCACATCCCTGGGTTCACACGAGTTCTTTTTAAATGACATGTCCCCTGGACCTGTTGCCAGGGCAACAGAGGAATTAGCGACGGAATTGTGCCTTGACAACCCTGTTCTTGATACATGCAGACAGTCCAGTCACATCTACAAACGGTGGTCAGAGTTAATATTGATGTTCATATTATGCTTACAAATCTGTACCTGACACACAATATATTTATATACTTTTACAGAAACACAGATTCTGATATCAGATAAAAAAAACAAAATAAAACAAACAGAAAACTGACCCAGCAAATCTTCACTATTCCAACCACAAACCACGTCAGAATTTTGTCTGTCATAAACTGTATTAAACAACAGTTACACTTTATTAATTTCTACCACCTCTGCCCAAAAGACTATTCCATGGATCTACTGCCACTTGTAAAAAGTTACTCTCTCCAATTTCAGGGTCAGTCCAATTATTCTCTTTCTACGGAACCGGTAGGTGGTTAAATCATTTGAGATATTTCTACGTTAAATCCTACGTTAAATCCTACATGTATATCTTTACACTATGTGTGCTATTGTCACATATTCATCCGCTTATAAAAATGTGGTTAATGGCATTTACTGTCCACACAGGAAAAGTTGTGCCGAGCAGCAACCAAATCCACAGAAGGGTTAATGCTGAGCAGCAATTATGCTAATAGGAACCTGGTAACTGCCTTTGGGGTCAAAGGCCGGTTACAGCCTATCAGATCTAGAGGAGGGGTATTTTGGCCCAGTTCTCATCCTGCTCAGTGCCCTGTTGTGGTTTCCCTTGTGGTTGTCCGAGAGCGTGTTATTGATTCTGGTATTTCTGGTTATTTGACTTTGGCATTGTTCTTGACTTCCCTGTTTTCTGGCATCCCTGACTCCTGGCTTTTCCTTATCGTTGTGTCTCTTTCCCTTGACCTCGGCTATTCCTGACTATTCTTTGGTACATTAGTCCGGCCATGCTAAGGTCTGGTATACGTTACCTATCAGTCCTCTGTGTTACACAATTCTACGTGCTGGATCATTCTGTAATCCTGACAGCTATAATTTAATTACCTAATTTTCAAAGATACACTTTTTTATACGGTGCACCATTCCCTCGCTACCTCTATTTACATAAACATCAGAATGCACTCTTTTACCAGGCTTACGTACCTTCAGACATCTAGGGTATAACTTTAGTTTGCTTTCATTTGTTTCTTTCACCTTCACAATGCCCCTTTTAACCATAATTTTCCTATCCCTGCATTGTGATTAGCTGAGTTCATCACTTCTGATGATGTCAGCCAAGGAGGCAGATCAGGGGTAGAGCCAGCACCAGCAGACTGGAAATAAGGTAAGATTTTACTATATTTAGGAGGGCAAGGGGGGAGGGGGGAGGATCAGGGGGGATAGTTAGTGTCTAATCTTCTGGCTAGATTATGTCTTTTCTTGCATGATCCCTACATTATGACGTGTCTGAAGTTATAATCCTTATGGCTTTCACTTAGTTTCCTTTATGTTCTGGCAAAAGCAACCATCCTTCAATGAGCTACTCTGGACACACTATAACCAGTTTATCCGTTAATCTACATCCACGTTTGTTCTACTAAACCACCTCAAACACACTGATATCAGATCATCTTCTTGATGCATCCAATCTCTGTGGTTCTAAATAATAGATTGGGTCCCATTTTTTTGTAGGGGCACAATTTAAGTGGATTCCTTCTAGTTGGGACAAATACAATGTGGGAGACTTAACAAAGAATTCAGTTTTTTTTAAATTTGTGCAAAAATGTAAGATTGGAAAAGTCACCAATAAGATGCTCCTGCTTGTTCCATTGGTTTTCACAGTTATTGCCTCACTTTTAGTAATCTGAGCATGTTTTAGAACAGAACGCACTGATAAATCTCCTCAGTTGCATTGGTCTGGTTTCAGTCCATTGTCCAAAAGCAAATGTTTATTGCAGTATCACTGCCGTGACGACTGCTCAGACACTGAAAAGAGTCTAGTGAAAGAGTTTTTGCAGAACTTATTTTAGCATGCATTATATTAAGACTGAATAATGTTTATTGGAGTATTTAATTGATGACTGTCATTTATGTTACTTCATATGGCCACTAAGCTAATGCCACAAATTTTAGCCACTGATAAAAAAATTACTTCTATTCAAAATTATTGCCCCCGGTGATTTAAAATAACTACTCCCATGATGCTTTGCCAACCTGGCAAAGCATCATGGTCATTGTAATACTAAAAGACCTACCCACGATTTGGCAAGCCTACTTTATACAATTGATAATAGATACCTCAATGTAACTTCACCAAAAAAAAAACTCTTTTCATTAATGACTGAATTTTTATTTTTATTTTTGTTTATTTTATAAAAAAGAAAACCCTTTATGAATCAGCCTCAGACACAGAACTGGGCAGAGTGTGATGCATGTGCACAATGTGTGTCTGTCCGGGAAAGGGGTCTCCTCACACATCACAGGAGGATTAGTACCATAAACACTGCGTGCATGCAGGGCTGTGTACAGTTTGGCAGTATCCGGTCTCTCTCCTCCTTAGTCCCCTCAAACCTTCTTTCTCTTTCCTGCTCAGGGACCACAGGGAGTGGGGAGAGCGTCCCACGTAGTCCACCGTGCTGCGTCTGCTGCTATTTTGGCACAAATAAAGCGGCAGTTTTCTCAAGGCATCAGCAGGCAATTTCCTCCAGTGTCCCCATGGTGGCCTGCAGTGGGACAGTCACAGTGTGGCTAATAGTTTCTGAATGGTTTGGCATGGTGTCACAAGTGCTCTGCAGAAAGAGTAAGTAAGCAGATGGTCAAGCAGCTTATTTTATTGTTTTTGTTTTTTTTTAATTTGTAGAATATCATTTGTATATTTGGGGTTAACACAGATAGGGCTCTTCACTACACTGAGAATTGTGATTGACTGAGATCACCACTTCTGATGATGTCAGCCAAGGAGGCAGATCAGTTGGTGTTCCTGACCCTATAGTGTTCCTTTAAGGCCAAAATAGCCAAACTGGAAAAGTTCTTTCAGTCAGCTATGCTTTCCATTCAGCTACTCTGGCCTTAAATTTGAAATTCACTTTGAATTCACCTTGAATTCTCATTTTCATGAATACCGCTGTGTGTATTTGGAAGATCACACTATTTAAGTATTTTTGCAAATTTACTGCTCGTTTAAACGTAATCTATTTATTCACTAAATTGTGAATTGTTTGTAATTCAAAGTGAATTTAAAAGCTGAATTAGAGAACTGTAGCAAATCTTGACCATTCAAGTAATTCTGTAAAACCCAGCGGATTTGTGAAAATGTGTTTAATACCATCAGAAATGTGTGTGTGTGTGTGTGTGTATAGAGAATGAAAACGTAATCCATCTTCAGTTTCTAGTCGAGTTAAGAAAATATCATAGTAAATGTTTTGTCTCACTCTAGGAATATGGGACATGGGTCAAACAATGACCTAAATATTTTTTATATGGACATTATATATATATATATATATATATATATATATATATATATATATATATATACACACACATATATTTATATACCTTATAAAACCTCTATTATAAAGGACAAATCTAATTAAGAACACAATTTATATTTGTACACAAGAGGGACATTTATGCTCCATATGTGTCATCAGCCTTCTTGTAGTGTGAGCAGATATATCCAGACTGGATAAAAATAGATATAGTAAATAAGCACTATGGTGGAATACAAGTGACCTCATTCTGTTGAGTCAGAAACACCAATTCTTTGTGTTCTGTAGACCTAAACATTGTAACATCTTTGATATTAGTAGATTCACTTCGTAGAAAACCGGGGATCGGAGAGGCTTTGCCCATTGTACTTTGCCCATTGTCTTCTACTACCAGTTTAGTGCATCTCTTCAGAATATCAGTTCAGTACTACGTTTTAAAAAACTCTAAAGCAGTCATGATTTTTACATTGGACATTTAAGACCACCAACAATTCACAATTTATGCATAGACCTCTTTTGTTTAAATATTTGGAACTTGATTATAGGTCTTCAATAAGCTCCATTTTGAGAACCACTTGTTAGCTAAAGAATACTTGCCCGTTGCCATTGGTATGACTGAACAATATATCAGGACAGATGTGTAGAATAGCCATTTTGGGATTATACTATTGATAATTGGCCAATATATGCCTTGATAATTCATATCTAGAAAATGTTCCTGACTGCAAATTTTGCTTTAGTCCGCTATGTGTAGATTCTAGAACCCCCATAAAGCACTAATCCCCAGTTCTACCTGTGTTAGAACACAACTACACATGACCACAACTGTATATGTCCACATTGATATCTGCAGTGAGTCTTGGTTAATTAATATCCTGTTACGTAGCATCCGACCCGTACAGACAACTCACCATATCCTCTGCTCGCCTTCCATCCTCATTCTCCCTTCCAAGGAGATCCAACAGTTTTTCTTTGATCAGCTGAAAATAACCAAAATTAGAATATTTCACAACAATAAAAAGTGAAAGAAGCCATCACAGATTAGCACTATGTAGTATATCATTGACATAGTATTTAGTCATAGGTTGCATGTTCTCAGAAAGGTTAAAAGAACAAATGTGTCTCCAAATACGTCATATATTTTCAAGGTTAGCTATCAATTCAATGCATCTATCTAATGTGGGGTACACTCGGAACATATATTTGTAAGTAGTGGTGCTGCTGTAAAGACCAAAATATATACAAAATAACAGATTAAGGAACAGAGCACACACACAAAAAAATACTGAAATCACTCACCTACTGCAACTCCCGCTTGGCATAAAAATATATTTTTTAAACTTTTTGCTCACACTTTTTAAGTGTCTCTTGAAACCTCTTTGAGGATGCGTCTCTTGTTCCATAGGTGGTCCAGTCAAATGCTCCTTGTAGATGAGCATTGGGGACCTGATGTGCAAGGCAGGGTGCTCCACTTGAGCATTCAACGCTTCTCTTAGGAAAGCATTGAATGCAATGTTTTCCTCTAAGCTGCAGTTTTACTCAGTCAGGGGGGTAAAAGTGCTTCTGGTGGCTTCCTACAAGACAGCTTTTAGAGTTCTGTTTAACCCTTCATTATTTTACACTGCAGCTTACAATGACAGGGACACCACCCAGACAGCTTCATTGAGATCAAGTGGTCTGGGTGACTTTAGTGTCCCTATAATAAAATTGCAAGTATCAGTTTAATCGTTAGGATTATTACTTTCAGGGAAATTATTACTTAAAATCTCAATAATGAGTAATCCAACTGTGAATTCAGCTTTTTTTGTGACCTTTATGCCTTTAGTTAACTTGAATAGCAATATATCAAAATTTACTTTTGGAAAATTAATTCTCAAAAATGTGCAGGTATGTATTATGTTAAATATTTTCTTTAATGACAAAACAAAATAGTTGAAATAAAGTGTACCTTTTTTTTCATCAAAGGGAAGCAATCTATATTGTTAAACATTATTTAGCACCCATGACCTCTGCTTGCCCTGTTAAAATATTGTAAAAACCCACCTTATTTTTTTCCAACCCCCTCCCCCCGATCTGCCTCCTTAATGATTTCAGCCAATCACAATGATTTCCCACAGGAAAGCATTGTGTGCAGTACTGACCCAGAAAGCACCGCTACTCGCCGTCTGAGGAGTGCCACCAGAGGTCTTCCTAGGCTATAGTGTAAACACTGCCTTTTCACTGAAAAGGCAGAGTTTACAGCAAAAACCCTACAGGACTGGCTATACTCAGCAGAACAACTACAATAAGCTGTAGTTGTTATGGTGATATAGTGTCCCTTTAACTTACCATAGTTACATAGTTACTCCTTAAGTACTCGTGGGTGAATACCATCAGGCCCCGAAGCTTTATTTACATTAATTTTCTTTAATAACTGTAGCACCATAAAATAAATAACATAAAATAATATATATATATATATAAAATTGATAACGTAAGGTTGTAGATAGTATTAATGAGAACTACAGATGGAATAACTAAAAGGATATAGGAAGAATTTAAAAAGGGCAATAGTTCTAACACGGAGATGCAAAGTGTAGCATATCTGATACGATTTGAAGAGCGTTTTATGACTAGAGAATGTGTACAGCAGATAAAGTTACATTTCTTTCATTAAAACCTCTGGTGACAATCTTCCTTATCTTTAACAAGCAGCATTCCATAAGTCCAGAGGGCTGAGCTGAGCAGTTTTATTTGAAAATAGGGAAAGCGTGTTTCAATTCTATCAAACATAAAAAACATGATTTTTTATGTTTGAATTATTTTTTATTCCTATTGTAATAATTTCTAATCGCGGTTATGGTGAAAAGAAGCTGCAGGTGCAGTCCCTCCATTTTAAGTCGAGCCTTTTTTTCCATTTATCTGACAGAAAATTCCCTGTAATAGAAAAGCCTCTCATTTTTAGCACTGCTGAAGGGGTTAATGACTATTCAGCTCAGCTAATACATACAACATGCATTTATATGTTTTTTGCAGAATAATGATAAAAGGAAACGTCTTCACAGTCACACTGGCTGTCAAACCACTCAGAAACACCGTGACAAAAAATGTGAGGAACCATAAACTCCTCGCACCATAACCACTACACTAAACTGTATGGCTTATGGTGCTTAGCATTTTCTTTTAAAGGAACACTATAGGAATACTACATCTCTAGTTATATTTAGTGTGGCGGAACCAGCCTGGCCACTGGGCATTGAAGAAGACTGATTGCCAGCTTCCTGCCCTGTGACTACGGCCCCATGTTGAAATGCTTGATTTTCCCCTGAAAAGACCCGAAAGCCGGGTTATTCGGTACTTTCCCTATTTGAACAGTGATACCCCAGATAGCTATGCCATGGAGCCCATTCGTATAACGAAAGACTATGTGAAAGACTTTGGCTCCATGGCAATTGAACTGTATGTATGTGATCTGAGCGCCATTCAGTAATAATGTGCGCTCAGATCTAAGCTATCTGGGGATATGTTGAATGTACCTGTTTTATGCAATAGCTGCACAGTTATATATATTTATGTATTTTATTGTCTTTTGCTACCATGTGGCTAATGGAGTTTTGCCTCTTTCCTTGGAGATAATTGGATTACTTCCCAATTATCTCCAGGATAGAATACTCTGTGGAACTGGAGTATGCTGATTCTGAAAATGTAAGTTTTATGTGAATGTGATACATACTTTTAAAGTTATGAATATTGTGTAAAACTGTATTTTCCTGCCTGTGATAATTACATTAACCCATTGTGTAAGGTAATTGTATCACAGGCAGAGGGGAGGATTTTGTATGGGAGTGTCTGAGTGTATTGTACGTGTTTATTGGTTGGTTTACAAAACCCTGTGGGTGGTACTAATGTGTAAGAATGTGTATATAAGGACAAAAAAAACACAGCTCTGGCAGTTCTACTTCACCCTCAATTTGGAGTGCCGTCTCTTATTGGGGGAATCTGCTACAAGGGATTGCTATGCTCTGCATTCTCTCTTGCTAAATTCACTGCTAAGCTCTTGTAAGAGCTTGTTCCTGTTTTGCTCTCTGAAGGAGTCTACGATGGTTATGGTGTCTGCTGGAGTGCTGGAAACTCTCAAGAAGCGCTAGGAGCATCCTTCAATGGAGGTACCCAGTCGAGGTGCCCATCGATCCGTTACATTTAGAGATATAACTCCTTTTTGCACTCAAAATATTTTGAAAAAAAGCTTTTTATTCACATTTTTCCAGCACTGAGACTCCTTTGGTGCTGCTGAACACACACCTTACCCAGTTGTGTCTAAGGTTCCTGTCCGGTCGCATATACCACGCCTCACCCTTCTGTCAGTCCCTACATTGGCTTCCAGTTAGATATAGGGCTCAATTTAAAATTCTGGTGCTTGCTTACAAGTCCATACATAATGCTGCTCCAACCTACCTATCCTCCCTAATACACAAGTATATCCTGTCGAGGCCCCTGCGTTCTGCCAAAGACCTACGTCTATCCTCTGTCCATACTTCCGCATCTGATGCTCACCTCCAAGACTTCTCCAAGGCTGCACTTTTTCTGTGGTACTCCCTTCCTTTCTCCGTTAGACTTTCACCCAGTCTCCACGCCTTCAAAAAAATCATGGAAAACTCACTTCTTCAAGAAAGCGTATCAATTAAACTGTTAGCAGGTTTTCATTCCCCCCCCCCCAATGACTCCTCTCCTGCAACTGTCAAAAATGACCAACTAAGTCTTCAGTGAATACTTTTCTAACAACCTACTTTGTACCCTACTTTTACCCTTTGTGTCACTATACCCCACTCCCTCTAGAATGTAAGCTCATTGAACAGGGCCCACCACCTCTCTGTTCCTGTACGTCCAGTTGTCTGGTTACAATTTCATGTCTGTTAGTCCACCCATTGTACAGCACTACGGAATCTGATGGCGCTATATAAATAATAAAATAATAATAACAATAATAATTAGGTGCTTAGAAAAAGAAAGAAAAAACACTATAGAGTCCAAGGTGTTTAGTTTTTTTAAACACTTTAGACACACCTGGGTAATCCCTAAATTCTGGAATGTTAGATGTGCCTTGAGGAGAGAGTTGAGGAGCACTGGTCTAGGCTAACTGATCACTATAGGAAAAGTGGTCTACAAACATCGGGGATGCCATGTTCAGCAATCTTGCGCTCAGTGTTCGGAACAATTAGACAGAACAAGAACTCTTTAAATGTAGATGTTTGTTACCTTCAATACAGGGTGTACCTAGAAAATGCCTAGGGATCAGGATATTTTCTACTCACAGGCTAACAGTATCAAAGATACGCAGGTTAAGGCTTATTCTAAGAAGTGCCTTTTAACACATATACTGTTACAGTATCTTTAAAGTAGTGATAATGTATTGCGTACTTTAGAGGCCATGATGCTCTGACCATCACAGTAGCTCTAGGTGCATTAGATGGAACACTGTGCAGTCTCCCCCTGCAAGCGACTCAGGAAGGGGCTCTTGAGAATGCAAGAACCTACTTACGTCCACTCGAAATGAAACAGGTACACCCAGAGCAAAGTACTTTGGTACATTAAGTAAAATGACGAGTGAAACCCATTACTCGTTTCTCTTATCTCCTCTGCAGAGGGCCTACATTCTTGATGCCATTACAATGGCATTCATGCATGCACAATTTTTCAATCAGATAGAAAGGAGGAGAGATAAGAGCTAAAGTGACAGATGTAAAGAAAATTAGAAAGATTAATGAAGGGAGGGGGGATAAAAATAGGGAATTTGCATGTGGCTTCACAGGAGGAGGGATATTAAAGTTAATTAGAAAAACAAGTGCAATTTAATGCTAATTTTACATGATCTTGCTTGGTATTAAGGTCATTTCTTATTTCTGTGTACGCGGATAAAAGTACAGGCAGTAAGCTGTACAAATAAAACGAGCCTGATATCATTGTGAAAATACAAAAAAAAAAAAAAAAGACATTGGATTCTTCATTGCGGGAAGATTTGTGCACTTAAAAATTGACTGAATCAATCTTTCTTAAAAAAAAAAATGCTGAAAATTTCTAGCAAGCACACTGGAGACTGTCAAAGCAAATCAATGAAAAAAATAAACTTGATAAATTTTCGGTGTCTGTGAAAAATCCGGGGAAAGGCGAAAAATGCCAAAATTCAGTTGTCTCTTCCTTTAGCCACTTCACCAATCCCACGACAAGTTACTGTCACCAAGTTGTCATCAGTGGGTCAGTGCTAAAATTGGAGCTATTATTAGTACTTCTACACTCTGTCACACCGAATTGCATATTAAATCCAACTTTACTGATAGATGTTATCTTTATAACTTTATATTATTATCTTAATATAATATTACGTCACTTCAGACAGTCCACTCAGTTGTACAAAAATAAATACAGGTCAAAATCATTATTTAGAGATGAGATGTGTGGCACTAAATATCTCATTCTGCACAGCACTGTGTATTTGCATGTTAATGCAATGCAAGGAAATGCAAAATATTAGCAGTAGCTCATAAAACACAATTGTGTTTGATAAAAAAAAAATTGTGCCTTCATTCTTAAAAGACCTCTCTTCTGTCAGCCTAGTGCAGACACACACATGCAGACATGTACATGCACACAGAGAACTTTCATACGCAAGTGTTCTATACACAAGACATGCTCACGCACACAGATGCTCACACACATAGATTCTCAAACACAGCAAGATGCTTGTACACAAACAGCCATACTGACATCCAGCGAAAGATGGTAACACACACAGATGTAAATGCAGTCAAGCACACACACATATACACACAAACACCCCCCCACACACACACGCTGTGTACTTTTATCCTCTCTATACCCTGGGCTGCCCAGGCTTGCCCCTTGCTTGCCCTCAGTGCCCTGCTGCTCATTATAGAGCCAGGAAGTGCCAATATATTACATAATATATTGACACCCACGTTCAGTCTTCATGTTACTATGTTACAGACAGCCCCATTACGGCTTTTACAATCTCGGGGCCCCTCCAAAGTAAGACGTCTAGGGCTATTACCCCACCTGCCCCACTCAAAAGACGGACCTGCTGCCTTCTAACAGTGACTTCAGCATTTGTGAAGTTGACTTTGTTTTGGTATTCCAATGTTCCAATGTCTAAAGTTTCTACAACTGAGTGTGCTAATAAGGGCCCTGAATCTCCAAATACACTTGTGGAAGTTTGCAGTGCGACTGGAGTATGGGTTTCCTGAAACCAGCAATATTGGAAAAGCTGCAACCATCCCTGCTTTTGCTAAGTTGGATCTGCGCTTTCAGCTACTTTGGTATATAAACTCCCACATAAATTAGACTGTAACGTTCACTAGGGAACCCTAACACGAAGACAGGACAGAGTAGAGAGAATTGCAATACCGATCCTTAGAATGGTCGAATTATGCAAAAAGGGATAGTCAAAACACGAGCCGAGGTCAAGGAAAACAGAGAGACGTAACCACGAAATCCAAATAACAAGTGCAACGCTCAATGGTAAACCAAAGACCACAACAGGGCACCGAGGCAAGGGAGGGGTTATCTTATATACACATAGGGTGTGTCTGATTGGCTAATCTCCAATTAGTGTTAACCACAACACGTGGGAGGAGTTTCTTCCCTCCCTTGTGGTCTCTGAGGTCATCACTGTGTGCTGTGGAGCGTGCAGTGTCAGACACACTGCCAGTCTGGAGACAGGGACCAGATGACGCCGCTCGCTGTGATGAGGTAAGCAAGGTCACCGCGAGCGGCACGGGGGCAGGGGACCTGACATAGACAAAACAGACTTGGGTATTTATTTGCTTATTATTTCTGCTGAGCAACATTTTACGCCTTCATTGCATTTTTGTTAATGGTGTCTACAACTCATCAGACGACTGATTAAAAACTGCTGGCACACTTTATAAAAAGTTCTGGTTTTACAACTTATTAGTGCATTTCTCCACTCCCAGTGTAGCATAATTTTCATCTAGATTCCGAAAGACATTAAAAGTTAGCAGTTATGATAATACAACTGGTAAAGAATTTCATCTATACATCATGCTAGCAGATGTGCTAGCAAATGTCTACATTTCTAAATCAGAGGTTAAAAACCATCCCACCCCCTCTTTTCAGTCAGTGCCAATTGGCACAGATATTATGAGGCTGTGCTCTACAAGTCTATTATCAGGGAAACCTTCCTTTGAGCATGACTCCTGCTTAAATTCAAAATAAGTGATGGCAATGCCTGCAAGGTGAAGTTGCTAGAGCAGCACCAGCAGCAGTTTGGAGAGAAACATCCAGAATGATTCATTGCATCAGCTTTGGACATGCAATCTGAGAATGGAGAGAGAGAATAGATACTTTTTATTTACACAAAGCCAACATAAAGTGTTGGGGACCTTTTACTGAAAGCAAGTCTGTGCTCCCAAACAAGGGAATACGGAAGAGGTGTGTCTTACACTAAGTATAACACCCATTGAAAACATGATTGATGCTCTCAGCAGGAGAGAAGTGTTATGGAAATCAGTGAAAATATCAGCTTTTAATAGTATTAAAGGGAGAAATGCTTAATTCTTCAACATGAGTTAAGCAGATGCTTAGAAAACTGCAAACCTATATCTGTCATGGCAGGTTGACTTTAAATGGACTCTGTCTCCAAATTAGTTTTGAGCATCTCATAAAGAACATGCTTATACAAACATTGCTGAATGTCCAATGTAGTCAAAGGATAGCTTATGACAAAATAGGGACTACTTTGTCTACTGGTAAATCCTCAAATTGGCAAAACTTGACAAAAGGTGCAGTAACGTCGTCAAGTTCAGTCAATGCCCCAAGCTGTCTCTGCCTCGTGTGCGCATAACTCTTTTCAGCCCTTATATTTCACAGCATCCACCACACCTACTCTTCCTCTTTGTCTTTTTTTCTATTCATGCTATCTGTAATAATTACTAATTTATTTTACAACGTATGGTGCGCAGTAGCAAGGAGAATGCTCAGCTTAGCTGGGTTAATTAAATGCATGCCATGTATACCTCAAGAACAATGAGTTCCATTTCAAGCGTTTTAAATGTATTATTATTAGAAATATCTTAAAAACACGCTACACAGCATATAAAAAAACAAATTAACACAACGTAACAGACCATTCATGCTCTGTTACAAAATTACAGAATATAGGTTAGGTGGGAATTAGTTGAATTGGGAAGTGAGAGCACTGGGGTGCACAGTGTGAGCGAGAAGAGAATCTGAGAGTTCTCTACCAGAGACAGGACTCAACCGAGAGGATCTCAGTCTGCAGCTATTAACTCTCTCATAAATCCTGGATAGAGAGCTTTTTAATCCCTTTTAATTTCAGTAGTCACAGCACAGAGGTAGATAAAAATACAAATGAAGGAAATGGCAGAAAGCTTAGATCTGCTGCCCAAACGAAATGTAAATCTGTATTATACACAGAGCACTGAGTGTATCTGTATTATACACAGAGCATTGAGTGTATTTGTATTATACACAGATAGCAGTGAGTGTATCTGTATTATACACAGAGCATTGAGTGTATCTGTATTATACACAGAGAGCACTGAGTGTATCTGTATTATACACAGAACATTGAGTGTATCTATATTAAACACAGAGCATTGAGTGTATCTGTATTATACACAGATAGCAGTGAGTGTATCTGTATTATACGCAGAGCACTGAGTGTATCTGTATTATACGCAGAGCACTGAGTGTATCTATTATACACAGAGCAGTGAGTGTATCTGTATTATACACAGAGAGCACTGAGTGTATCTGTATTATACACAGGGCAGTGAGTGTATCTGTATTATACGCAGAGCACTGAGTGTATCTGTATTATACACAGAGAGCAGTGAGTGTATCTGTATTATACACAGAGCACTGAGTGTATCTGTATTATACACAGAGCACTGAGTGTATCTGTATTATACACAGGGCAGTGAGTGTATCTGTATTATACAGAGAGCATTGAGTGTATCTGTATTATACACAGAGCAGTGAGTGTATCTGTATTATACACAGAGAGCACTGAGTGTATCTGTATTATACACAGAGCAGTGAGTGTATCTGTATTGTACACAGAGAGCAGTGAGTGTATTTGTGTTATACACAGAGCAGTGAGTGTATCTGTATTATACACAGAGAGCAGTGAGTGTATCTGTATTATACACAGAGCACTGAGTGTATCTATATTATACACAGGGCAGTGAGTGTATCTGTATTATACACAGAGAGCAGTGAGTGTATTTGTATTATACACAGAGAGCAGTGAGTGTATTTGTGTTATACACAGAGCACTGAGTGTATCTGTATTATACACAGAGCAGTGAGTGTATTTGTGTTATACACAGAGCACTGAGTGTATCTGTATTATACACAGAGCAGTGAGTGTATCTGTATCATTCACCAAGCACTGAGTGTTTCTGTATTATACACAGAACAGTGAGTGTATCTGTATTATACACCGAGCACTGAGTGTATCTGTATTATACACAGAGAGCAGTGAGTGTATCTGTATTATACATAGAGAGCAGTGAGTGTATCTGTATTATACACAGGGCACAGTGAGAGTATCTGTATTATACACAGGGCAGTGAGTGTATCTGTATTATACACAGGGCACAGTGAGAGTATCTGTATTATACACAGGGCAGTGAGTGTATCTGTATTATACACAGAGCAGTGAGTGTAACTTGCAGTGAATTTGTACTCACCTCATAAATATAGTCAAACAGTTCCAGGATTGTCAAGATACTCGCCCCTATAAATAGTCCCATCTGACCCCCGATATCTCCTGTTGGAGAAAACACAGCAATGTCAGAAAGACAAGACAAGCCCAGAGGGCAAGTGACAAGAATCCAAATCTCTAACACTTTCCCTCTGCAGTCTAAGGAATGGAACTTTGTAGTTTAATGTATTGTGTGCCACAGGGATTACAGCCTCTCATTATAATAATCTACCATACTACTTTTTCTAGCCCTGTACATCAACGGCAGCCCTTAACATTGCTTGACAGAGGGAGACAGAGATATGATAGACATTTCTGAAACCGTAACACAACAGGACAGCAGGGGAGCAGGTTTCAGAGATAGAGAATAGCTGGAAGCAAAAAGGTTATTTTGTGAAATAAAAAAAAAAAATTTGAAGGAATATAGTGTCTCAGACAAGCAAGCACAGGTTTGCAACTCGAGAGAGATTTAAACAACAGAGTTTTTAAATCACAGAACAGACTCCCAGTTGAGATGGTTAAGGCTAATCAAATCATTCCCTCTCGGCCTTGTGTATACACAGGCCTGGCTTCGTTTTCTGGTTAAAAACACTGTATATGATGTTAGCCCCAGCAGTACAGCTACGTTGTCATAATAATTTGTTATTTAAAGATTTTAATCCAAAAATGGAATGTTCTACCCAGGTATAGACAGCCAGGACTCAGTGTTTGATAGGTAGTGTGTGTTTTTGGCTGCGTGTGTGTGTTTGTGGCTGTGTGTGTATGCAGTGGGAATAGTATATAGGGCTGTGCAAGTGGTATGTACTGAGGTTTAACCCTGGCATATTCCGTAATTATTGGGGCATTCAGGAATCTGTAGAAAGTCTAAACTCACCCAGCAATCCAGCCACCTCATATGCTTTCCTCTGTTCAATCGTCTCATAATTTAGAGCCTCGAAGAACACGTCCAACACAAGTATGTTCTCCCTGTGTAAAGAAGAAGCACAGGCTCAGAGATCATCAAGCTCCTTTCTAGAGAATGCATAACAACATAATGAATAATTAAATATTTTGCTTGGTATTCTGTGTAAATAGCCTACATCACTCGTGGCTATCCTGGACATTGCAAAGGCATTCTGAACATCATCAGGGATACACAGTGCAGCTGGTAGTGCCCTACACCCTGACTCCATCAGTAACTGAGTGTGAGTGTGCCCTACACCCTGACTCCATCAGTTACTGAGTGTGAACAGGTAGAGGGTGCCCTACATCCTGACTCCATCAGTTACTAAGTGTGAACAGGTAGAGGGTGCCCTACACCCTGACTCCATCAGTTACTGAGTGTGAATAGGTAGAGTGCCCTACACCCTGACTCCATCAGTAACTGAGTGTGAGTGTGCCCTACACCCTGACTCCATCAGTTACTGAGTGTGAACAGGTAGAGGGTGCCCTACATCCAGGGCCGGCCTTAGGGGTGTGCGAGCTGTGCGGCCGCACAGGGCGCCATGGCAACAGGGGCGCCGGGCGGCCAGCACAGCTCGCACTCAGTCACTCACATGCCGGCCCGAGTCATGTGCAGAGCAAGTCAAGTGCATTATGCTGCGCACTTGACTTGCAAATTATGAAGAGAGCAGCGGCCGGGAGAGAGAGGAGGTCAGGAGCACGGAGTGTGGTGGAATCTCGGTAAAAATAAATTTAGTAGGCCGAGATTACCACATGGCATGTGTACGTGCATATGCTGACGTATCGATCAGTTGGTTGCACGAGGCAAGATACGATCAGTAGTGTACGGAGCATGTGCAAGAATACAGGATGTAGTATTCCCCTCCTCCATTGTGCTGGACAAGCCATGTGGTCAAGCAGGAAGTTAATTCTTATTTGTAATGATTGGTCAAGAGAATGTGCGGGTGGAGCTTAATATGGGAGGAGTTATGTGCCTATATAGGAAGCCTGCACTATTGTTCAGGGCTCAGAACTTGCTGTATTTTTGGTGACATTAGTCCCTCTGAGTCCCGATCGGTGATCCAATAAAGAATCTCTTCCTTCCTGAAGAAACCTGTGTCCATCCCTCTGTGCTTTGCTTCCGTCAGTTTCTCCGGTATCATTTGGTGCATTGGCCGGGAAGCTCATCGTTCAACGGTAGCTGAGAGGCAGAGGCGTGAGACGGTCTATCTTTGCCCACGTTCTCTACGGCTGCACCCCTGAACTTCTGCGTGGACCTCCCTTCGTCTCGGCGCCACTGGTCTGTTGTCCAGGAGATCATCGGCCTCTACGTAAGAAGTGCTGGGGTGTCCCCGTCGATGAGTGTGAACTCAGGTTCAGGAACGAGGAGGTAAGACAACTGCTGTTTTAGACGGCAGACCCACTAGGGGTATACCGATTGTGCGGTAGGCCCAAAAGGGGTTTAAATCTGTGTATGGAATCTGCCCCCTCTGTCGGAGGGAAGGAGCGAAGGCGCACCGCTCGATCGAACGCTCTTTAGTAAGACCGTTTGATCTGGTTAGTCAGGCGGGGTCCTGTGTAAATAGCCCTAGCCGGACACCGGTGTCTTGTCTAGACTAGCGTTCTAGGGTGTATATTACGTTCGCTAGGTCGGAGGGACCGGGAGACTAAGCGGCGCCTGTGTAAATTCGGTTCGCTAGCTCTCAACCTATCTTGGCTAAGTGGGAAGGCGTGTAAATTTGGAACCCACTAGACTTTTGATAGAGTAAATAGACTAGAAGGGCAATTTTGTAAATTTCGCCCTCTAGTTCGCTATATGTGGTGTTTGGGCAGTGTGGCTAACCAAAACGGGTGTATATAGTTTTAGGTAGTCCATTCAAGGTACTGGCCAATAGTTTAGTTAGGATTGTAAATGTGTTAAAGATTGTTAGTAAAGTGTATATCTTGTTAGATAGCGCGAGCTCAGCCGTCTAGCGAGAGTGTTAATAGTGTGTTGCTGTATCATAATGCACGGTACCATAACCCTGTATATTTACTGACACTGTATATAAGTACTAATCATTGTCGTCTATTGCATGTTTAACACCATAACCACTAGTAATTGTATTGTGACCTTAAATTGTGCTTTGACCTATGCTAACCGTACTGTAACCGATACTAGTAAAAGACGATGTTACTGGGGTGTGTTATAGACGGGTAATTCATATATAGAGAATTATAGCGTGGGTGACTGTATAGTTTAGCCAAAGGGCATAATATTGATTATTTAGTGACTGGTGTAACAGCTGTGTGTGTACGGGAATTCCCTGAGTGATTATTGTGTACGTTTCACTCGGTAACTGTACCACGTGGTGCTGTTGCCAGAGGAAACGGGTGTGACTGTTGAATAAGAACGCGTGCATAGTATTAGTTGTCAACGACGTTCCATTGATAAGTATGGGCGCGTCAGAGTCAGCGATTTCGGATCCCTTAGGTTGTATGGTAAAGAATTTTAAAAAGGGATTCAAAATATGTGATTTTGGGGTTAAAATGTCTCCTGTTCGTTTGGTCACTTTGTGCACTAGGGAGTGGCCTACTTTGGTTGCGACATGGCCGCCGCGTGGCAGTTTGGATCCAACCCTGGTACAGCGTGTACACGTGGCTGTGTCAGGTAGGCCTGAACTTTACGGACAGTTTCCATACATTGATTGTTGGAGGCAGGCCGTAAACGACTCGTCAAAATGGATCCGGATATGCCACGAGGAGCAATGTCGCCTCATGGTGGCCAGGACTTATTTGTCCACTAGGACCGGTGTTAGGCCCATTTTGGACACGCCCCCTGAGTCCGAGATCCCTTTGCCGCCCCCTTACTTCCCTTTAAGAGGAAGTGACGCAAATGCAGGAAGTTCTGCACCCCTTCCCCTATTGCCCCCATCCACTTCCGCTTCCTCCTCCAGTACAGAATCCACCCCCCCTCGTATTAAAACTCCCCTTCCTGAACCAGGACCAACCCCCATTAGATCTGAATATCCTGATTTGGCGCCACTTCAAACTTCAGGTCAAGCTTCTTCTAGCTCGGCTCGGAGTATACTATTCACTAACTTTTCCCAAAATCAAGTTCCCACATCCTCATGCCCTATTACCTCTCGACCGGAACCTTTAACTGACGCCCCTCCACGTAGCCCCATACTAACCGACAACTGACCGGTACCCAACAATTAAAACATTATCAGATGCCTCTTCGTCTGAATCCTGGGTCAGCCTATATCGATGCCGCAGGTCAAATGGCATATGCTGACCCAGTCTTCGTATATGTCCCGTTCACGACTACCGATCTCTTGAATTGGAAGACCCACAATTCCTCATACACTGAGAAACCACAAGCTATGACCGATCTGTTCACCTCGATAGTTCAGACACATAACCCGACATGGGCTGATTGCCAGCAGTTATTAATGACATTGTTCAATAATGAGGAAAGGACAAGGATTAACCAAGCGGCCATTAAGGAGCTAGAGGAGAGAGCCCGTGCTTTAAATCAAGCCAATCCGGCAGCATGGGCCGCAACACATTACCCTAACACCGATCCTGACTGGAATGTAAATGGCGCAGTTATGGCTCAACTTAAAGCCTATAGAGATGCTATAATTGCTGGCATGAAAGCCGGAGGGAAGAAAGCTATTAACATGTCGAAGACAGTTGAGGTGATTCAGAAAAGTGATGAAGCGCCCAGTGTCTTTTATGACCGATTATTGGAGGCATACAGCTTGTATACCCCCTTTAATCCGGAAGACGCTGATAATTCCCGAATGGTAAACTCCGCCTTTGTCAGCCAAGCTTACGGAGATATTAAGCGCAAGCTACAGAAATTGCGCGTACTGCAAGGAAGAAGGGCATTGGAGGAACGAGTGTCCGCAAAGAGAGCAGTATGAGAGAGACTTACCCAGGGCAGGTTACGGAAACTTTAGAGGCAGAGCGAGAGGTAGAGGAGGCCCCGGAGGGAGTAATGGTAATAGAGGGAGTAATGGGAACAGAGGAAGTGTAAGGAAGATAGGTACTATCCAGCAGCGCAAAGGTCTCGCGATAGAGAAGGTAGGGACTTTGTGGGATTGGCTGACACGGTCATGGAGGACTATTGATACCGACCGGGCTCCATCCCCCTTGGTCGAGCGGAGCCTATGGTCGATGTATCAATAGGGGAAAAAGGAGTGCGTTCATGATCGACACTGGTGCTGAACATTCGGTGGTGACTAATCTAGTTGCTCCTCCATCTGGAAGAACTATTACTGTAATAAGAGCAACTGGAAGAAGTGCTGAAAAACCGGTTCTTAAAAGTCGACTCTGTACATTGGGAGGCCACGTAGTAAAACATCAATTCCTTTATATGCCTGAGTGTCCAGTCCAATTGCTGGGGCGTGATATGCTATCCAAATTACAAGCGCAGATTACGTTCCTACCAAATGGAACAACATCCTTAAAGTTTAATGGACCCTCAGGTATTATGACATTGTCCGTACCAAAGGAAGAAGAGTGGCGACTTTATACGGTGTTGACTAGCCAAAACCCGAGGAGTGATGAATCCTTATTTAACATACCAGGAGTTTGGGCAGAGAACAACCCACCAGGACTGGCCCGCAATATTCCACCTATTAAAATCGAACTAAAACTTGGGGTTTATCCAGTAAGCCTGAGACAATATCATATTCCGCAGAAGGCTAAGAAGAACATCCAATCTTATCTGGATAAGTTCATACGGTATAGTATCCTAAAATTCTGTACTTCCCCCTGGAACACCCCATTGCTGCCTGTTCAAAAGCCCGGTACAGATGAGTATCGACCTGTGCAGGACTTGAGAGCAGTCAATGATGCAGTTGTTAGTATACATCCAGTCGTGCCCAATCCATATAACCTGCTTGCTTTAATTCCGGGCGGGGCTACTTACTTTACAGTCTTAGATCTCAAAGATGCCTTCTTTTGCCTCCGAATTGCCTCAGAAAGCCAATGTATCTTCGCTTTCCAATGGGAAAATGCTGTAACGGGCTCGAAACGCCAAATGACCTGGACAAGATTGCCCCAGGGGTTTAAAAATTCACCTACCCTATTTGGTTCAGCTCTAAGTCAAGATCTACTAGATTTCGAGTCTATCCCAGGAGGGTGTGTATTATTACAATATGTAGATG